GCCACCGCAGCCTCGACCTGCTGGGCTCCGGCGATCCCTCCGGCCTCAGCCTTCCAAGTCACCAGAACTACAGGCGCGCGCTACCACGCCTAGCTGATTTTTTTGATTTATTGTAGAGATGAGGTCTCGCTGCCCAGGCGGGTCTCGAACCCGCGGGCTCAGGCCATCCACTCACCTCCGCCTCCCAAAGCGCAGGATGACAGGCTGAGCCACCGAGCCCGGCTACATGGAAGCTTTTCACTTGAGGCGCGTTCTGCCGCAGCAGTCCCCAGCCATTCTGCCGTCGCACTGGTTTTGTGAACGACAGTTTTTCCACAGACCAGAAGGCGGGGGTAGTTTTGGGAGGATTTGAGCGCATTCGTTTATTGTGAACTTTATTATGAGCGCCGTGCAACATATACTGAAACAGTTACACAGCTCGCCCTCACGCAGAGCCTGTGGGAGCCCTGAGCTGGTTTTCCTGCAGCTGGACGGTCCCATCCGGGGGCGATGGAGACCGTGACACCCACAGAGTCGCTTACGTCCCGTCTGCTCCGTCATCTCGTTTCGGTGCCTGCCACTGCGGCAAATCCTGCTGCACAAAGACAGGATGCAGGGAGCGGCAGCGGGAGCAGGCTTCGTGCTGATCTGACGGGAGGCGGGGCTCAGGCGGCCATGCCAGGGACGGGGAGGGCCGCGAACACAGAGGAAGCTTCCCGCCCGCTGGCCACGGGGTGGGCCCCTCCTGCCCTGTGGCCCGGGCCGGGCCCTGCTGGGCAGCACTGGGCTGGGCAGCGTGAAGGGTCGTCCTCTGGCCTTTCTTCGCAGATCTACATCACCACAAAGCGCCTGCCCTACTTCCCGGTCGTCAACTTCCTGTTTCTGATCGCGCAGTTGCCAAAACTTCAGTACAGCAAAAACCTAGGTGTGTATGACTTTTCCTCCCTGCAGTAAGTCGCCTTGGCTCTGTGTAGAAGGCTGTGACTTAACGAGCGCTGCTGTTAGTTCAGTGCCTGCTTATGAGCTCCATGTCTCTGCCTCTGAAATGGTGTCGTGAAATGTGGACAGTGGACTTAAGGTCAGCTGAGTGAGGTCACCTTCCTAGGTTCACCATCACCGAATGTGTCACCCTCCTAGATCAGCCATCAGCGGGCATGTCAGCTTCCTAGGCTGACAGTTACCAAGCGTGCCACCTCCCCAGGTGAGCCATCACCAGGCGCTTCACATTCCCAGGCCCCATGCTTTCCGTAAGCAGGCGCAGGGTCACGGTGCCAGGCCCGAGTCATAGGCTCGGCGAGAGGCGTGAGGCCAGGGAGCAGAGCTAACCTCCCACGAAATCGGAGTCTGCCCCACCGGCCGTTCACCCGCACGCAGCCGCACGTGCTGGAGAGGAAGCGTGCGTCCGGAGCCGGAGCGGCCGCCGCAGCCAGGCCCGGCTGCCCCGCGCGGTCTGCTGAGTG